CACGTTGTCCTGGATAGCTTCATTCCTAACCTTATCTCTCCTGGTATACCCACTCATCCATCTCAATATCCTCATTTTTGCTACTTTCATCTTCTCCATATGTGCGTTCTTAATTGGCCAACACTCCGCCCTATATAGAATAGTTGGTCGGACCACCAATTGTAAAATTTACCTTTAAGTCTTGGCGGTACATTCCTATCACATAAGACGTCGAATGTAAGACTCCATTTCATCCATCCCGCTCAAATACGATGTATGACATCCTCGTCAATCCCCCCGTTATCCTAGAAAATAGACGCAATATACTTGAAATTAGCTTTCTTGGGGGATAACTTGAGTATCAAGCTTCACATCCACGTGTGACTCATGAGCCCCGTCACTGAATTTGCACTCTAAGTATTTTGTTTTGAAGGAGAATAAGCTATATTCCAAGTTTTCAAAACGTGAATTCTGATTGCAGTCAGTAGCATTCTTAGGCCACGTGATATCTAGTGAAGGCATAAAAGTAAACCGTTATAAGATAGAAGCAGTCATGGACTGGCCAAGGCCGACAACACCAACCGAAATCATGAGTGTCTTGGGGTTAGCTGGCTACTATAGAAGGTTTGTAGAGGTATTTTCTTCACTTACAACTCCATTAACTAAGTTGACTCAAAAAGCAATTAAGTTCCAGTGGTTAGACACTTGTGAACTGAGTTTTCAAGAGTTAAAAAAGAGGTTGACCGATGCACCTGTGTTAACTTTGCCGACAGGTTTGAGTGGGTTCACATTGTACTGTGATGCCTCCAGAGTTGGTCTTGGTTGTGTTCTTATGCACTACGAAAAAATTATTGCTTATGCTTCCAAGCAGTTAAAGAATCATGAGAAGAACTACCTCACACACGACTTGGAGCTTGCAGTAGTGGTGTTTGCATTAAAGATATGGGGACACTACCTATATGGCGAGCATTGTGAAGTGTTTACAGATTACAAAAGTCTCAAGTATATTTTCAAGCAGAAAGAGTGAAATTTGAGATAGAGAAGGTGGCTTGAGTTATTGAAGGATTATGATTTCAATATCGTTTATCGTTCGGGTAAAGTTAATGTGGTAGTAGATGCACTTAGTAGCAAGTCAATGGGTCTGTTGGCCCATCATGATTGTCTTTTTTTATGAGTTTTGTGAGTGATGAAGACTAAGCTTACAGAAAAAATGGATATTCTAAGGTGTGTATTCTATGTCTATATCGACTGACTCTTTTTAGAAGAGAAGGAATCCTTTATTTGCAAACAAAATCAAGGAATTATTAGCCATAGTTGTCCATTCAGATATTCCTCTATGTTTTCTTCAGCCCTTTTAACTTTGCATTTTACCCCTTTCAACCTAATTTTCCTTGTCTTTTTGCATTTTAATCCTCTCTACTCTATTCTAGAAGTTTTCTATTCAGCTACAAAGATTCCCCGTGTATAATCCCTTATCTATCCCTCATGCCATGTATTTTAAACTTATTTCCAGACATAGAGTGGAATGTTATAAGGAAAAAGGCTTAACGCCTTATACGAAACAGAACAACAATGAAGCAGACTTTGAAGGAGCAAGAAACAGAGGCTCCCAGCGAAATACTCAAATAGGAAACGAAAAGTTTTAGGTTTCTTTACAAATCACTAGTTCTTGAACTCAGACATATAATATTTTCTATTGTCAATAATCCTACAGTAGTAGGTAAGAATTGGATAGTTAATTCTCTTCTTTCTCTATATCAACACTAAATTCAATATTTAGGTGTGAAACTTTGAAATTTAATTAAAATGCACTAGTTATTATAGAATTGATTATTTGGCGGGTATATATTGGACTGGAGCCCACGTATTGGCTCGAAAAATTTTGAGATGATGTATTCATGCCTGTTCGAAACGCGAATCATAGTATTCATTCTTATGGGAATGGGAATGAAAAACAAGAGATACTTTTTCTCGAAATATGGACAAACGGAAGTTTAACTCCGAAAGAAGCACTTCATGAAGCATCCTGAAATTTAATTGATTTATTTATTCCCTTTTTACATATGGAGGAAGACAACTTATNTGAGGAAGACAACTGATGAT